AGATTGATAATAGATTGATTATAGATTGGTGCAAACAAACACAAAGTAACTCACTGATTTCGAATCAAATTGTCATGGTGCTAATAATATCTGTGTATGTGTGTGTGTGTCCTCCAGATGATCCAGATAAGGTCATGTCGTCTTACTCAGCTCAGACATCATCATCACCATCACTGACAACAACAGCGAGAACACCGCAACTATCAGACCCTCCTTCACCATCACCTAACCGCATCACTGTTGCTAAGAAACAGCACTGGGTGATGCAGGGGTCTGTTGCTCTGTCCTCAAGCCCCACCCCTAGGTCATTTCCCTGGGACCACCCACTAGGGATATCCCAAGATGCACCTGGGTGGACCTGCAGCCAAATGCAGGATAAGGTATAAGAAGTCAGGCGTAGCTTTGATGGCCGTGTCTTCATGAGACGAAATTTCTTCTACTCATGATCGTGTTAGTTGTAAATTTCTTCTTCTTCTTTGAACCCCTTGTTTACAACGTCTTCTCTATCTTCAGGTAGTTTTACTCCTGATAAATGATGCCCCCCTTTGTTCACTCTGTTCTTTCTTCTTCTTTTTTCTTGAATTTTTGTATCCTCGTTTGACAAGTTTCACACTCACGCCTTTTACTTCCAGACAGTAACGTGCAGCCAGAGGAAGTTCGTCTATCTTGCCTGGGACACGGCCAGTGCCCCCTGTCTTCCTGTCAGTTCTTCAACAGTGTTGCAGGAGGCCTCCCAGTCCACATGGGGCTCCACTGATGTCCCCACCACCTCCATCAGTACTAAACGCTCTGGACAACGTGCCTACCTACAGAGCTTGGATCGCAGCAGCCGAGCCTGGGTGCTGTCTTCAGGAAAGTCCCAGGCTTCAGAGGATGTCTGTGGCCCTCTGGAGGACAGAGGCAGCAACATCTGGTACAACCCGATCCCAGAGGAGGAGGACACCCTGCACAGAGAGGTAGGGAGGAGGAGAGAGGAGAGGGAGAGGGAGGAGAGTTCAACAAATAGGGTGGGGTCAGAAGATACTAGAGGAGAGGAAGGAGGTGTCAGGTCAATGGAGGCTCGTAGTGATGAACATCCACTGGAGGGCGCTAATCCTAGTGTCAGCTACTGTACTGATGACATCACAGCAGAACTCACAGGTGAGAACACAGGTGATTCCAGCTTGGGCTCTAATGTGTTTCATACTTTAAGTTACATTTAACTTCCATCTCTTTCCCCCTCAGACCCCCTCCCCTTTGACTATAGCCCTGCCTCCCAGAAGAAAGGAGGCATATCCAGTAGTGTGATTGACAGGCTGAGGTCTCCTGGTACAGTGAGGAAACTTTCCCAAAAGATGAAGAAACTTCCTGAACTACGGCGCAAACTCAGCCTCCGCTCGTCATCTCGAGCTCATCGCCAGGGAGATGACAGCAGAGGAGGCAGGGACGAGTGTAGCATGAGGAATGTGACATCATTGTCGACTTTGTCCAACCAGAATGTGATCAGCAGATATCACTTGGACAGCTCCGCCCCACCCACTAACCCCCTGCGACAATCATTGAGAGGACGCTCCGTGAGTAAAGGAGGTAAAGGGTCACAGTACGATGACAAGGCTGAACCTGCTCATGCTTTTCCAGCTGCACACACCTGTATGTCAAAGTACCAGGATGTAAAATTTCCCCTTTTCTTTCAGGTCATCTCAGTGATGGAGATTCTCCCGAACTGCTGCCACGGCCACAAGGTCCTAAACATGCAGCTTCTCAGGAAATGTTGTGCGATATGAGTTCGTTCAGGTTGTACCTGGGCTCTGATCCACCTCGATGCAGCCAGAGGGTGACGGGTTTACTGACAGTCCACCTGCTGGGCCTGGAGGAGATGAAGACCAGGTACACAACTGTACATAGTTTGATTACAGTGGCATCTGCTGGACATTAGATGTACTGCAATTCTGTTCCAACTTTACATTTAAATGTTTTTTTAAACGAATCTGCTTGAACATGGATGACCCTCAGTCTAGGGAGGTGACAGATAAACAGTTAAAATGGTCCTCGATTCACACTCATCTGCTGTGGCTGTTCTCCTCTCAGGTCGGAGGGCAGTAAGGACGTCTTCCTCGCCATTCAGGTTGATGATGTGACAAGAGCGAGGACCGCCCTCCTAAACCTGCGAAGCTCTGCCCTCTCGTTAAACCACACCTTCCACCTTGAGCTGGAGCAAGCTCGGCAACTCCGCATTGTGGTGCTGACACCAGGTAGTGTTATTGATGGTGTTAGTATGTGTTCCGCTGCAGCCCTTATCACCAGGAATCTCCTTGTCTTTCCAAATTGACGTCTTCTACGTGTAGGGCTCCTCTTCTTCATCCTGAGATATTTGTGTTTATGTTCCAGTTTCACGTCCGTCACATGTTAGAAACCTCAGAGACACGCCCACTCGCTCACTGAGAAGTTTCCAGATGTTTTCCTGCTGTTTTCTCACATGGACTCATTTTACAGACATTTTACCAGGAGGCTGCAGGAGAATATCCAGAAGATGTCCAGAGACACTGTCTCAGACAACAACAAACAAATTTGTTATTACATACAGAACCTACAGAACATGTCAGGAACACATCAGGAACACATCAGGAACATGTCAGGACTTCAGTTGAAAAAGATTATAAGTTATTGTGTTTGGCCAAACTTGTTATTTTCCTGTATTTCAGCCAATCTGCAGACAGGGTGTGTGTCTAAACCAGGATCTGATGTTAATCAAGCATCATGCGGTCCAACCAGCAACAGAGTGTGTTGTCTGGGAAGAGTCTCCATTCCATCACTGTTTAAAGGTTCCCCTCCCTCAAACATAACATTCACATCTTGTGTTTAACTGTATAAATATCATAAATAATATTAAACATGTTTTTGTCGTTCAGGGAGTCGTAGTCAACAGCTGTGTGTGAAACTAGAGCCTCAAGGACTTCTCTACGTCAAACTGTCTCTGCACGAGAAGTGGGACAAACAGGTAAACACTGCGCTCACAGCAAAATAATCTTCATATCGCATTCCTGGCACGAGTTCGGCATTAGGATGTTCATCATCTACATCACCTAATCATCCTCGCCATCTTCCTCAGTCAAAGGCAGAGGCTGACTGGGACAATTAGGAATTTGACTAATTTCCACGGAAAGCACCAAACCTCTAATTTTATAGGCTCACCCTGTTTGTTGATGTAATGTTACCAGACTAGTAAACAAGTAGGAGACTTGTTATAATATTATCAGAAGCTGGTGCACGGATGCTATAACGGTTTCAGATAGCAAAGCTGTAATAGCTTTGTGTGCATCGCAGAGAGACGTCTGACATGAATATGTCAGTTACATTGACTGTGAGTGGGTTTAAAATCAATCAAATCAAGTTTATTTATAAAGCACATTTAAAAACAACTGGGATTGACCAAAGTGCTGTACAGTAAAACATATAAATAGAATGAGAGAAGATAAAAACAAAGTCATAGAGTAGTAAGAGCCACCAAGTAAGTTTAGAATGAGTCCACAATTCAAACCCTTTGGCTACAAATAGACTAAACAGGCTGGGGTTAGGGTTAGTAAGTAAGGTTAGTAAGGTTAAGTAAGTACATAAGTAATTAAACTAAGTAAGTAAGACTTAGTCAAGGGCAGTTAAAAGGTTTAGAGATGTCACCCTTACCCCTTAGGCTGTGAGATGTACTTGGGAGCCAGGCCATTTAAATTATTTCATTATTAATTATTAAAATAAATTATAAGAACCTGAAAGGTCCATTAACTTACTTCTGCTTGCTACATTATTGTTGATCAAGTTATCAGAAGAAAGACCAACAGTACCGGTGCGCCCGATGGTCTTCTTCCCTCCACAGGTCAACACTGACACATCACCCGTTAACGTGTTTGGGGTGGAACTGCACCATCTGGTGGAGAAAGAGGGTAGTGCGGCTCCGGTGCCTCTGCTGATCCAGAAAGCAGTGGCAGAGATCGAACGGCGAGGACTGAAGGTTGGTCTCTTTTCTGTTATCAGGGCTTTGATTGGTTGTTTGGTTTGAGATGTTTGATCACTGCAGACTGGTCACATGATCCCATATGCGTCCGTCAGGTGGTAGGTCTGTACCGACTGTGTGGATCTGCCGCCGTAAAGAAGGAGCTCAGGGATTGGTTCGAGCGGAACAGTTCAGCCGTGTGTCTCAGCGAAGACCTCTACCCTGACATCAATGTCATTACAGGTCAGAATCCATGTGACTCTGGTGGTAACAGAACACAGTCACTAGTTACAGGTACTCATAAGTATTGTTTCTTCAGGTATTCTGAAGGATTACCTGCGGGAGCTGCCATCACCGCTCATCACCAGGACTCTGTACCAGGTGGTCAGGGACACCATGACCTTACGACCCTCACCCACGACTCCTGACCCTCAGCTGGCCCAGAGCACAGTGGGGTTGCTGTCCTGTTTGCTGCCCCCAGAGAGGGTAACAGTTACTACAGTTATCAATAATCCTACTGCTAAAGTAATTCTACTACAGTAATCTTACAGTGCAACAATTAATCCTGCTCTAACTCAGGGACCCCAGACTCAGGGGTATCAGACCCTGGGAACTGAGACTCAGAGACCTAAGACTCAGGGGTCTAAGACTCAGGAGGACTCAGATTCTGGGGCCTAAGACTCAGAGGCCTAAGACTCAGGGGGCATAAGACTCAGGGGACTCAGATTAAGGGGTCTAAGACACAGGAGGACTCAGACTCAGGGGCCTAAGACTCAGGGGCTTCAGATTCAGGGGGACTCAGACTCAGGGGCCTAAGACTCAGGGGCTTCAGATTCAGGGGGACTCAGACTCAGGGGCCTAAGACTCAGGGGCTTCGGATTCAGGGGGACTCAGACTCAGGGGCCTAAGACTCAGGGGCCTCGGACTCAAGGGGCCTCAGATTCAGGGGCCTCAGACTCAGGGGGGACTCAGACTCAGGGGTCTAAG